GTGCGAACGGAAATTAGTGATTTTTGACCTCTATCGCCACGCCGCAGCAAGCCGGATATAAACTTCAAGCGCCACACCGGTCTTTAAAAAGGGAGATCAAGGAAGATGTAAAGGGTCACCAGATGGTCTCAATTATGCCCATCTGTTAGATATATGGAAGTTGACAAAGGCATCCTCCGTAGTCGTCGTCCCTTGAACTTTCATGTACATTATGCCATACCTCACACAAACGTATTCCCGTGCTTGCGATATGCCAACCCCCTGCCAGGAACTCGGGGAATTGATGAGAAAAAAGCTATGGAGACAGACGAAAGGAAAGGGCACTGAATACTCTTCGCTTTCCCGTGCATATTTGCATGCCTGCTCTCATGCATTTGGTATTTTGCATGGCAGCGTTTGCATACGAATGTTTGCATGCCAGTTGGGCCAGGTGGGACAGTTGCATGTGACATTTCCAATTTCGTTGGTTGTAGAAGGGACTTGCAGGTTTTGATTTTGAGAGACTACAGTCACTTGCCTCACATCTATTCCTGTTTGACTTATATCCAAACCTCCCTCCCCGCCCTTCTCTACCGCCTGTCCAAACATCCATTCTACCCACTCGAGACTAGAAAGTGCGTCCCTATTAGGTAGCCACATACAAATAACTGACTAACAAAACATTTCATAAATCGGTTTTACTGTGATTTAACTTTCAGATGTATTGGAGATCTATAAAAATACTTTCTATTTTGCAGTTCCAAATAATTGTCACTTTTTAAAATGCAAAACGCTTCAGCGTGTTTCCAAACAAGAAGTTGCTACAAGTTTCGCTGGAGGATGCGTGTTGCGATAAATTACCACTCGGTAGTCAGCGTTGCACCCAACAGGTGCATATTGGCCACCGCGACTCGACCGCTGCAGGTTCGCGAAATCCAAATGATTGGCTGAAAGCGAATAACAGTCGTCAATTTCCGGACCTAACAAGATGTTTGGAATAGTTAAAAACACTTGCGAAATGTACTGCTGCTAAGCAGATAACTATTTGGCCCCTTTTATCCGAGTAAGCTCGATTTTTTGAAGACTGCAGTTCCGAAAGTTCTGTAAAGAAGATTTCTTTCATGAAGAGTCTAGCTGTGCCTCTGACTAAAAAACGCCTGTAAAAGCTATCTTCCGGGTATCTTTGCCGCAAATCTTATCATATAATTTATGCTCCACGCAAAGTTCAGCCATCACTGACTAAGCACTTGTCCAACGCGCTGAATAAGTAGAACAACAGACGATTGGCTTTAGCTCCGTAATATTTGGATTCATAGTAAAATTTTTCTGCACTGTCTGTCATATATCCCCTACAAAATCACTTGACTTCTCTTTCAGGCTATACACTAAGCTAGGGTTATCGGTGGAAATGACTTTTTTTCCATTGCATTTAGATATACATATAATGAATATATGGATGAAGAAGAAGGATCTTCAAGCGTCGGATCAATTTGTTTATTATCCCAAGCTGTCGAAATCGTCATGGCCATTATCATGGACTCCTGTAAGAGTTCAAAAGCTGAGGATAATAAACAGATTGATCGGGTGCTCCACAATCCTTCTTCCATGAAAGCGAACGCGAATATATTCTCAAGTAGTTCAGAGGTCTTGAATAGCCGCCTAGGTATAAAACATTAGGAAGCATGCTAACGGTGAGTGGAATTCAGCAGAACAGTAGCTTTGCTTCAAGCAGTCAGTTTTTTTGACGTTGAACTTCTTAACTGCTCTGAGATAGCTGCCCATTAGATGGAGATAAGCTTTTTTCTAGAAAGCCAGCAAAGCAGTTGCTGGAATGCGAAAGATTCTTTTATACTATCGTTGGAGACTAACTTATGTGTTTAGTATTCTGGCAGCCACTTATTGAAACGGGTAGCATAAGGATTTAGGCTTTTCTAGACCTCCCTTCCTTATCAAACATGCACGTTTTCCGTGAAGCCTTTATTATTTTTTAGAAATTTACTAATATATTTTGGACAAGATCTTACTAACTGCGCGATACAGAGTAAGAAGCCTTATTAGCTTTAAAGACCTGTAAGACAGGATCGTACACTCCATAATACGCAAATTCTCTGATTAAACATATGAAAATGCAGCACTTTTGCAAAAAAGACACCCTGGTGACTGAACGCTTCCAGCACGTGCCTTTCTTCCTGAAACATACTCGTAAGCAGTCCAGGTTTACGACTGGTATTACTTTTAAAAGTTGATATTGATAATCCGTTGACAAGATATCGCTTGGGAATAACCTAGAGGATATTATAATACAACTACTGCTTATATTTTGCACAAGAGGTCTCTGTGTTGAGTATTTTTATGAATACGTCAAGTTTCGACGCAGATACTATTCCACCATATATACTGTAGGCTGGTGTGAGTGTTACCAACATTTCAATATGTTTTCAACCAGTAGGTGCGTAGCATTTCCACAGATCATCCGATTAATGGCGCTATTTTTTTACTTTGGCCTTCGTAGTACAGCCGCAATTTTTACTGCAGTGGCGTTTTGCTTGTTAATTAAAATCATGGAGGTTAAGACTACGTATAATAATGCAGAATCTCTCAAATGGTTATTCTGTAAGAGAGGAGAACGGGGAAGTCTGTACTTCCGTTAATAATTTATCGATTTTTCACTGCTATTTTCCCCTAGAGGAATGTTTTCTACGACTTACTTTGAACAGTACATATTTCAAAGTGTACTTTCTTGTTGTAGCAAGTGCCTATGGGGACGTTTTAGTACTGGGAGAAACGGAGCCCATTCTACATGGCTGTGGCTCACATAAACGGTCTAAAATATATGAGACTGGCCCAACCATGCTTCCTATAAACAGTAACTTTCAGATGGTCGACCGACAGCGGTCAGAGCAGGGGCAGCAGCGGAAACAAGTTAGCATGAAGGATGAGAGAGAGAGAAGAGCACCTAGGCAAAAGGCGTGGTCGCGCAGAAGCGCGCACGGCTACTCCATCGACTGGGACTGGGTCGCCGTCGTCTGCGTCGAGTCCACGCGGGGAAATGCGCATGAGCACATTGGTGCGTACGTGTCTGATCTCTCCTCCGCGCAGAGTGAGTTGTCCTCACTGGATTGCTCGCGCCTCTCCTCCCG